GGTCGCATCCAGAAAATAACACTGTAGTCAGTAGTCAAGTCACTTATTTCGTGGCCTTCATAGTTGTGTACTGCCAAAAAGTCACAGCTTGGTCGTGCAATTTACCCACGCGAACCGTGAAGCTGAAACTGTATGGGGTGGGGCCAGCAATGAGAAGTTTTCTGGACAGAACGGGCAGCAAGCTCATGCGGGCGCTTCCTAGCCTACTGTCGTTCGAGTGGAAGAGCGTCCTCTGATTTTCATCCTGATGTATGAAGGGGTCATTGTTGTCTTTGCTACGGAAGGTCACGCATGCAGTACTTTGGATCTAATTTGAGATGAATTCTGAGCGGTTTTGTCGCGACTTTCGAACCAAATCCTTCACCGCCAGCTCATTGTCATTGCGCTTGTGAAGATGGCCATTGCGTAGTGCTACGACCCTTGAACGGCCCTCTTTACGGTCATTCTGTGTTGCTGGAGCAGAGCAGGAATCGCAAGAAACCAGCACAACTCGACGTATGATTGAAGCCAACTACTGCTCTTCATTTTCTCTTGGGTTCGCACCACAAGCCATCGCGATGAGTCGCGGTCTTGCCTGGTACGCGCGTCGAGTCTTGACGGCAGCTGACCCCAGCGAAAAGGTTCGATTAACCCAGGAAGCCGCCGAGCAATGGGCCTCTAGCCGGACAATTGGTGAGGCAGCGCAGCCTCCAGTTCGACCTGCGCGGCCGGTGCGCCCATTGATTGTAACTTCGGGAAAGATGCCATCTGTGAAGGAAGTCAATGCACCCACGAATATCTACTATCTACATGGACTCGCACATGTCGAGCTGAATGCCATTGACCTTTGCTTTGACACTATGATTCGTTTCGCCGATGACACGGGCTCTGAAATCGAGGACGCGCATGACTGGTATGCTGACTGGATATCTATTGCTTCAGATGAGGCTCGCCATTTTTCGTGGCTAGACAAGCGCTTGCGTGATCTTGGGTCTTGCTACGGTGACCTGCCGGCCCATGGCATAATCTGGAACTCCGCAGATGTATCAAAGGGCTGTCGGAAGGAAAGACTGGCTCTAGGGCAACTAGTAGCTGAAGCAAAAGGGCTTGACGCGGGTCCCCGACTAGCAGATCGGTTGACCGGGGCGGGAGATATCCCGTCGGCGGACATGGTCCGAGTTATTGCTGATGAAGAGCTTGAACACGTCAGAATAGGTGTCAAGTGGTTTATCAGGGAGTGCGAGCGAGAGAAGAGGGACCCTATTGCCGAGTTTCAGGAGATAGCGCTCCGATTGAGCAACCCTGGTGCCTTTGCTCCACCTTTCAATGAGGAGCGAAGACGACAAGCAGGACTGGATCCTGAGTGGTACCTTCCTGTAGCAGAGCAAATGAAGAAACAGTGCCGGGAACGTCGTGAAGAGGCGAAGCTGGCTGGAAAAAAATCTACTCAAGGGGTGGGAGCGGCAAGTGCTGTTTCATAGTTGTACTGGGGTATGAATTTGTTGTTATGGTTCTGCAACCTTAGCAGCATTGATTTCCGGGCAAACCGCGCGATTTGGTCCTGAACGTTTGAGAAGGAATATTGGCATTGATCAAAGAGATTCACCGACTCGGTATGCGGCATTCCACCTGGTTGATCAACACCACTCGTGCCTACAGACGATTGGTTGGACACAGGCTCGTCCGATGAACTACAAAGAGAAGTTTTTTTATAGTTGATACACAAAACAGATAGTTGGATAGACAGGCCAACGGTAGGCCGCATATTTTCAATGGCTGGCAGAGATGCAGATGCGAACAAAAGTTAAGGCGCGAAAGCGAAACCCAGCACGAGACGTAGGGCGAAAATACATTCCAGCATCAACGTTCTAGGCTTTCCGACTTTTGACGAAGTTTGGACTGCAGGTCACGATTATGCATATGACGATGTATGTAAAATCTACCAATTAACGCTTCGATGGCTTCTCGAGTATTGCATGAATCCATTCCACGCATGCTTCGGACTACAGATGCTCATTTGTGCTTTCCATCGCGGCCTGGAAGATTTTAGTACCCATTCATCTGCCCGCACTAATATATGTGACAAGGAGTGCACACTTGAAATATTCCGTTGAGGCCTGAGACGAAACGGCTCCATTTCCAGAACACACAGCTAGTTTTTGACGTTTTGTTGTTCAAAGTCGTCTATTGTCATTCAGGGTGATCACCGGCAACTGAGCAACTGAGATGGTAGACTTCTTATCTCTCTGTGTAGCGATCTGGTTCTTTGGTATTCCAGTGATCACGGGGATAGTTTTCATATGGCTGCTCCGGGGCTCGAACCACGAGACGAATGCTAAAAGGATCGCTGCTCTTCGAGGAACCTCAGATGATGATCCATATACTAGTCCGCACCCTGTTCCGGCGATACATTCTCGTATGAAGGACCTCACGCCACGGCGCCTTTCCTTCACGACTACCCCCACCCCTCCCAAGCCTCCGTTGCGGTGTCACACGCTGAACGGCGTTTCTACAAATTCTCATTGAAGTCATGCTCGTGGATTAGCAAAGCGATGACATTCGTTACGTTGCTCTTCAGGCACAAAAAGAACTGTTGGAAAGGGACTAGAACGAATTGCGTCGCTCTTTCTATCCTTACTCCATTTTCGCAAGGCATTTTTTTTTTTTTGGCGTGGGAAACACTCGCATGTTCTCAGACCGAGGAGGGAGCGACGATGCCGATGGTGTGCATAGAGAGGAATTCTTTGTTGGATAGCAATGGTGGAGATGGCGGGGCATTGGAGGTGTGAGAGACGCAAGGCGTGGGTCGTTGAAGTGGGAAGTCATTGGTTTAGTGATGATGGATTGGTGTGCTGAAGGAGGGAGAGTGGTGAAGCTAGATCGTATTGAGCGAATTGTAGCTGTACGAAACGAAGGGTCCGAGAAGAGGGAAGAGATCAATCGCGAGATTGAGAATGCAAAGAAGGGATGCATCTGGCATCTGATTGGTATCGGCTGTACCTCACTCCTGACGATAATTTCATGCAGAGGTCCACCACTTCAACAAAATTCGTAGTGAGCATTACCCGCAAAACGAGTTTAGTCAAATCGACATAGATGTTGACAACTGCGACAACCCGTACTCCGTTTAGACGCAAACTTAATGGCGCAGAGTTCGGTTGTTCTCGAGTTGTGATGCTTCTGTGAAGAAACCAATCGTGTGATGATACATACATTTTCACACAGTGTAGATGGGCTTGTTCTACCGACAAGCGATGCGTTCCATCGACAAGCTTGGTTCTACCGACTACCGATGTGCCCGTTCGACAAGATTAGCTCAACCTTTTGCGGATCACGAAGGCCTACGGCGGAGACGGCATCTGGACCGTATTGGTTTGCCGGATCTTGAACTGCATTATAAATTTCTGTGTGTGTCCTCGCAAGAATTTCTGCCACTGCAGCCCTAGCCCGGTTTCTAGCTCTGACGTTTGTGATATTTGAGACGTGCGGTGGTTGCAACGCCTCAGATGACCCAATCGTGCTTCCACCGAACAACATTGCATAAAAATTCTTCACAGATATCGACAGTGCCTCCGCATCCATACCTGCAACTTTCGAAAGAGGGATGAAACCTCCTTTTGATGCGCTCGAACCCTCGTCCTTTTCTGACCTTGTTGTATCAGCAGCGGCTTGTTTTGCTTCCGATAGGATTCGTGCCCGGTCTGCCAGGCCACACCGCCTCAACACTATTACTGAACTTAACCGAATGTAGTGATCGATGTGCACGTCTGCTGTCTTTGTCAGTTGTTCCACTCTAGACGTAGCAAATGAGTAAGCCATGAGTGGCATTCTCATGGAGTCAATACAATTTGCCATAAAGACATGTTGCTCCAGCGCAGCAAGGCGTTTCGTCGACATGCTTTCGCACAGCGCCTGTAAAGGATTCAGAATTACCTCTAAGACAGCAGAAATTTGCCCTTGCCTGGCATCTTCAGGTGTCAAGCTGGCGTCTAGAGTAGCCATGATCTCGTCCAAGCGCGTCATAGATTGGTTCACCGCTACTGGCGGCATGAGATCTTCAGATGGTCCAATTCCAGCTACGCGGAAGGACTCCATTTTCGACTTCCAAGCAGAGAAAAAGCCGTACATGGCAATAGAATTGCACTCCATAAGCATTTCCGGTAGTGCAGCGTCACGACCCAGTAGTTGAGACATTGTGCTAGCGTAGAACTCAAGGAGACTTGCCAGGCGGTACAGGACGACTACAGGTAGAGTTTGTTCAAGGGCTTGCTCAAAGCGAATACGAAATGGTCGACACAGGGCATCGAAAACAGTATTCAAAACCTTCAGGGCGAGCTCCTCATTGTGGCTTTTCGTCCTTTCGTCAGACTCATTAGCGTCAGCAGTGAACAGGCGATTCGTGAGCTCCTTCTCCGAGGCAAGAGCCTGATGAATCCAAGCGAGCATGTCATTTGTGTATCGCATGGGGTCATGTGCATGGAGTTCAATCGGCCTTGGCATACCTCCAGGTCCCCCCTTCGTGAGGGCCGAAACAAATCTGGAAACTAGAGATGCGCGTCGTGCCGAGCCAACCTCTTCAGCACAGAAACGTAGTAACATGGGTCGCGCCCGAAGAGCACGAATAGCCTGTCTGAGGAGGGCAGCCTCCTCTTCCTGCTCTTCTGCATCCACATCCAATGTCCCGCATTGGGCCTGAACGAATCGGAATACTTTCTCGTAAGCCTCCTCTCGTTTTGTCGCCGCAAATTCGAGAGCTTCGAGCCCCGCGCGTTGATTTTTCATGCGGAGCAAGACTCTAGAGTTGTCGTGAATCTTCTCCAACTTGTGCAAAGCTCCGAGAAACGAGGCGTCCACAGTGTCAGACTCCAGAGCGGTCATCTGATCCGGACTGAGCACAAATCGTTGTAGAAAAGCACCGCTAACCGCCGCGCGATGTTCCGAATCGGAGAGTTTTGCTCGCAACTGTGACGTTTGGGCGACTACTTTCGAGGCTCCCGAGCGTGCTCCAGATAGGCGCGCAGTAAGCTTGTCCACATCGCTTTGCATTTCTGCTATGTGACGCTGTACTTTGCGTAGCTCTCCCTGGGCATCTTCAAAGGCGGCCAGGACGGCCACGCTGCTGGCGACCGAGCGTGCGGTGAGCTTCGCACCAAGGTCTCGACGAGCAGTAGGGGTGTTGGATGTATAAAATGAGCCAATGTCACAAAGTGCAGAGAGTAAAGAGGGCGACTCTGCGGGCACGGGGGCATCGAGCAAGGCACGCATCTTGGACACGGCCCATGACGGCACCGACGATGGGTCTGATGGCTGTGCGGAAGGGCGCTCCTGATCTGGCGTGGACGCTGCGTTGTCTGCGGCCGAGGTCATGGTGCGTGGCGAGGGATGGCGAACAAGGTGCCCGCGGACGCTGAGCAAGTCTCGGGGATCCCTGACATTTAGTGAGGGCTACCGATGGCACTGAAGAGAAGATGCGCATGACAGGCCCTGCTGGTGTAGTAGTGGCTGGATGTTAAATGCACCAACCAGGCGCCGGTTCAAATCATTCCCGCCAAAATATCGGAGGCAACGACGTGCATCCTACAGTAGACCGACTCGCTCAACCCGTTTATTCCTCCATTTCCCTTCCCGCTCCCTAAACTCTCAGCACGCCACTTCCGGCGGTGTCCAACCGTCCGTGAGATGCAGTCCGACATGGCTAGCGCGGAAAAGGTTGCGTCTCTGCGACTGTTCGCGGGAACATCTGTTCCCGAAGTCCGCCTCAGAGCTGCTCTTGTGCGTGCCGGCGGCAACCTCGACACAGCCGCAAACGTCCTGTTGGACGGTGGCATGCTTGGCGCACGGGATGCCCCCCTACAAGTACCGGCGGCACAGTCCCAATCACAAAGAACGAATGTTGGATCTGTTGTTGACAAGAAGAGGGAAGCGCCTGGCAAACCGAAGAGCGCGACGAATCATCGTCATGTCAGTCGAGAGGAATGGGAGCAATTCTACAAAGAGCACTACTCCATCGCTGTTGCCAGTGTCGGATCTGAAAAGGTTGCTATTTATGAATTCATCAAGCGCCAATGGAGGGATATGCATACGAAGAGGAGGCAGGAAAACTTGAAGTCAAGTGAAGCCTCTGCATCGTCGAAGAGCAATAATCAACCGAAAAAGCGCGAGAACCTGCCTTCTTCTCAAATAAGTTACCCGGCGAAACCAGGCGCAGCTGGAAAACAGGAAGACGTCACTTTCGTGGCTCAAATGCCAGCAGCAAGCAACCCCACTGAGACTAGTGCGAAATGTGAATTAACAGAAGGAGAGGACGTGATCCGTGTGGCTCCAGAAATCAAACCGCAACCCCGTGCGCGAAAGCGAGAACGACACGGAGAAGCACCTCTTAATTTATTAGAGAATGGAATTGCTTCCGTGAGCCATGCGAAGGGTTCAGGACCTTCTAACACGGAATGGCCGAAGAAGATCGATTCGCGAGTATGTAGAGGCTTTATGCTGACTTCTGGCAAAAACGTTTTGTGTGCTGGGGACATGGTTAGTCTGGAAGGTTCCAAACCGGCAGCAAGCCTTTCGAACTCCAGAGGAAAGCGAGTCAGTGCGGTGTCCACAGCAAGCCGAATCGTCCGTTTTATAAAGAAGGGGCGAGAAATGGGAAGGCTTTGTGGTGACGTCTCAGCAAACCTGGGGCCTGCACTACAATCTGGTTTTGTGTATGCCGAAGGCAAAATCATACTGGCTCCCAAAAAGGCTCGAATACATGCTGAAGTGGTCATGGATCTTTCTGTCTATGTAACTAGGGATGCCTTTGACGGGAAAGCTGATCAGGAAGCGGCTGAGTGTGGTGTGTCAGGTCTGGACTCTACTATGAGTGAACGTGCAAATTCCGCTAGTGAGAAGGGTGTTGATGCGCGGCGGATCAATGTCATCAACCTTATCTCGAAGTTGAACCTTTGCGAACCACCTGAAATCCAAGCAACGGAATTTCCAATGACAAGGGCGAATACAGAAACGGAAGATGCAGGTACTATTCCGGAAGAGCACGCTGAAGCGTATTACCGCACTGTGGATGAGATTGATGAAAATGCTGCGAATTCATTTCAGCCTCCAAGCCAGTTATTGTGTACTCTGCGTGAGTATCAACGGGCAGGGGTGGGATGGATGATTGCCAGGGAAAAGTTCGGGACGCTTGCGAGTACCGAAGGAGTGAACTCAGACGTCATGATGAATCCGTTATGGAAAAAAAGATTGTTCCCAGACGGCGATGTGTTTTTTATGAATCCCACGACTGGCGGTCTGTCTTTGGATGCGCCTCTGGAAAATGCTGGTGGTCCCTACGGAGGTATCCTGGCTGATGAAATGGGACTCGGTAAGACTATTCAATGTATTGCTTGTATTGTTCATGACCTGGCACACCAGCAAGATGGTCTACCAAAACAAGGAAAGATTGAGTCACTTGAAGAAGAGAAAGTTTCAAAGAGAAAGCCATCCTCTCCGAATACCTCAGAAAATGACAGCGATGAAGACCCCGACTTTGGGGCTGAAGAAACAGAAGCTGGTGTTGAGCGCGATGAGGTTGATCAGATGTCCACGACAAGGCACATCACTACACAAAACGTGAGAGCATCAAGCAATAGTGGTCCCAAGGGTCATGTCAGAATGAAAAAGCCGCCACTGCGTCGAAGTGCTCGAAACGCTCTCGGGAAGGCACGGCGCTACAATGACGAGCCTTTCGACAATGAGGGAGGAATCAGTGGACACGTAGAGGGCAAAGATCAAGAAATAGAAGACCTGCCTGTGAACACATCTGCATTGAGACAAGATAGTCAGAGCTCTGAGGAGAGCGATGATGATGATTGGTTTGAAGACCCTCGGAAGGGACGGCCCTGTGAGGACGGCAGGGCATCGGGAAAAATCTCACACAGAGCCGAGGAGACCGACGATGAAGACTGGTCCGAACCGGCACGGAAGAAGAGGCGCTCTAATCCAAGCGGCACTTTGAGAGCAGCACAAGGGGCGCGATCAGCAGTCGAAAAACTCATGACGGCTGCTCATATCGGCAAAAGTGGACAGGGCGGAACCCTTATTGTTTGTCCTACCTCCTTAGTCACCCAATGGATGAACGAATTGCACCATCATGTAGCCCTCAACTTTCTCCGAGCCGTCACGTACTATGGTAACTCGAGAGGTAATGCGCTATCAATATCACTTCAATGTGCGGATGTTGTCGTGACTACTTATGGGATCCTTGCCGCGGAATATTCTGATAACCCCCTGAACTCTGAGACAGACAAATCCAAGAGAAAAAGCTCGGGAGGGCCAGTCTTTCAGTTGCAATGGCGCCGCGTAATTCTTGACGAAGCACACACAATCAAGAGTCGAGTAACGAAGTGGGCTCGAGCTGCATTCTCTCTCAAAGCAGAGAAGCGATGGTGCGTAACGGGTACCGTAATTCATAACCATGTCAATGACGTGTTTAGCTTATTGCATTTTCTGCGGGTGAAGCCATGGTCGTCTTGGGCCTTTTGGAATCGTGGCATCGTATCAGGCATAGAATCGAAGGACGTTGCGGCCCAAAAAGTGTCAATGTCGTTATTGCGAGATATTATTTCTTCGATGACGTTGCGTCGCAGAAAGTCAACAAAAGATAGCCAAGGCCGTGCAATAATTTGTTTACCAAAGAAGCATGTTGAAATCGTTAGCTTGATACCCTCTCCAGAAGAGCGCGACTTCTATGCAGCCTTGCATGACCGCACCAAGACCCAGTTTGATACATTTGTCAGAGAAGGCAAAGTCATGAAGAACTACGCATCTATTCTTGAATTGCTGCTCAGGTTGCGCCAAGCTTGCGATCATCCGTACCTGGTATTCGCTGCAGCGCCCAGTAAGGATTCAGTCGTCATGAAGGACAGGGACAAACTTTTCAAACAATTTTTGCAAGCGGGGTCCTCATCCCAATTTGTTGAGAAGATATTTAACGACGCTGAGTCTGGCACACTGCAGAAGTCTAAGGAGTGTCCACTTTGCTTGGATGTGATTGATGATGCTGTTGCACCGAGAGAATGCGGCCATCCGGCTTGTAGAAGTTGCTTGTTAGAATGCGTGCAGCGGACCAAGAGGTGCCCTGTCTGCAGAGCTGACATTACCTTCGAGAGCATTGCCACGCTGCCAAGGGCTACTAGATTTTCAGTGGATCTCAAAACGAGATGGAGATCCAGCGCTAAAATAGACGCGTTACTGAAGGACCTTGCCGAAATACAAACTCGCCGAAAACAGAATGGTGCTGAGGGAGTCGGAAAGACAGTCGTTTTCTCTCAGTTTACGAGCATGCTAGATCTCGTCGGGATGGCTCTCGACAGAGCGAAAATTAAGTCTCTCCGTATCGATGGATCTGTTCCTCAAGCTCAGAGAGCAACAATTTTGGAGCGTTTTGAGAACGAGAAAGAGTTATCATTGTCCACTTCAAATGTCTTGCTTGTATCCCTTCGGGCGGGCGGCGTTGGTCTAAACCTTTGTGCTGCATCATGTGCCATCCTCTTAGATATTCACTGGAACCCTCAAGTCGATGCGCAAGCACAGGATCGTGTGCATAGGCACGGGCAAACCAGAGATGTGGTCATCAAGAGGTATATCGTGAATGGGTCGGTGGAGGAACAACTCCTAAAAGTACAAAAAAGGAAGCAGGATATCGCAGATGGAGCCCTCGGAGCAGCTACCGAGGAAGACAAGAAGCAGGCTAGGTTGACCGAGCTCAAGCTTTTATTCGCCGAGGCCTAAATTGTCGCTGCAGCTGTTTCGCCGGCACTCTGCTTGCCACGAACGCCTTGGTTCTTACTGAGATCAGTCTTCCTTTTTTGCTAGAGCGTTGAATGACATCATCACACTCACTGAACAGGCAATGAAGAGCGGTACACATGACGGACTGATGAGCACAGCCAGAATGCCATGTGCTCCAACAACCTCTAAACACCACGAAAGACTTTTCAATAAGTAAAAGGGGACCCAAACTCGCGCAACGGTTGACCGCTGCAAGATTGTAGCCTGCCGTGATGACATCACAGCATCCAAAAACGATACAGGAACCAAGCTCCCAAACAACACGGTTACAGATAACGTATACGGTAAATCCACGCCCGATGGATGAAAGGAAGACGGCAACCACACTGATTTCAGTCCTGCCATCCCCAGACCGGCATCAGCCTCTCTGAGCTGATAGGTCACTATAAAGGCAGGCCCGAACCTCAGAAGCGCTGCCATGGTAAACAGAACAAACGTCGCTGCTCTTTTTCGCAGCAAACCAGGAATGCAAAACGCAAAAGTAAAGAGAAAGCCTAGAGAACATAACTTGGGCGACATTGCTTCGAAGTCAGAAAGCGAAAACAAAGCAGACAATAATCGTATCACTCTCGCCTTCATCCCAGTCTCAGGCACCCCGTTAAACGAAAACGGGTGCGAAGCATGCCGCTGCGAAGCTGAATGAATGGTGAGCAGATGCGGTTGTCCATCGTCATACAGGGACGCATTCCACGGTACCCCATACGCAATCACGCAAACCTCAGGAGCACTCTTCTCAGACTGCTCCCCTGTTCGCTTCTCGCAGTTGGACGACAACCTCTTCACAACACCCAGTGGCACTCCATCAACACGAGCCTCCAGCTTGGACCCCTCCATCACGCGTTGAGGCCCGACAAGCCGCACATGTGAAGACATCAACGCACCCCACCCTGCGCCGGCACTACAGAGTCCCGCACGAGGCACATTCGTCACGATCACCTCATCCACCCCTTCAGCTTTCCCATCAATTGTAAAGTCCTTAAACGCTAACGATCCGGCATCCAATGTGATTACTCGATAAGCCCCCGTCTGCACCATATCTGGTAGCTGTAGCTCTAGCACACCCGCTCTACTAACCGCCTGCAAGCCCCCCGGCATGAACCCTTTGAGCGTATGTAAATGCCCGGACAAGAATGCAGCTAACCTTGGCCGGGCCAGACCTCCCTCCTGATCCCTCCTTGCCGCAGCGTGATGCACACCTCTCCCTCCCGCCATTACCGCCGTTGGGAAGTGCCCAAACCCCAGAGCCATCCCCGCATCCCCATTCGAATTCACCTCAGAGAGCGCTTCATTCAGGGCCGCGGCCGCGCGTCGCCCATCACCGAAAAAGTTGAGCGGGCGGTGAAGCGGTTTCTCTAGCGTGCAATCAAGCGCAAACACATCAGCAGCCTCGCGGTTCCCCCTGAACCTAGTCATCTGGACTGGTTCGTTCGTGGCAGCGCATGTATCCACGTACGGGTTTTGCTGCACAGAGGTACCAAACGTGTCGTGATTCCCGTGGACGGTCAGCCAAGGCACGGACTTGTTCACCTGGGCGGCGTACTCCTTCAGCCATCCCCATTCAGTGGCGAGCTGCGCGCTGCGGCCACCGAATGGATAACGACGCGAGGCGACGGCGTTGACGAGATCGCCGGAGACGAGCACGGCGCTGGCTAAAGGCGCCCAGCGCGGGAGGATGTCGTTCTGGAAGCGGCGCAAGTTGCGCTTGGCGGAGCCGTCGTCTATGTCGTTGACGTGCAGATCGGAGATGTGTAGCAGCACAGTGACAGGGGGCCTCGCGGCGGGGGTGTGAGAAGGGGGGATTTTGCAGAAGGGATTGACGGAGAGATGGGCGTAGCGATGGCCGCCATACTCCAGGAGGAGGGCCAGAAATATTATGAGGAAGATGCATGTGGGGATGCTGAGGATGGCGGCGGCGCGAAGCTCGCGGTTGAGAATGGTTCGCGGAGCGTGCGTCATTGCGGGCAGTGTCTTGAGTGAATTGGCTTGGCGCAAGGCATCTTTCAGACGGACGCACAGGCCGTCGTGCTCGTCTTGTTGGTGTGCTCATCCATAACTTTGTTTGTGCTGTCGTGCGAGGCAACTTATCTTACGTGATACAGTATCTCCACTGCCATGTGATCAATCATAATAATAAAATTCTTAGTGCCCAGCAACCACTCTTTGGCTTTGAAAACCAATGACAGCGTGTTCACAGTGATTGCATTGTAGCATGTAGACGTACTCCCTTGCCACAACAGTAATAGTCCAAATGGGCTTAGTACTTGGGACACCGAGGCGTCTCTAACTAAATCGTTTCATTTCGACAGCGGGCTCGAGGCGATTCCAACCCTCAGGTTGCATGTTTTGAGCGTGGCCTCGTACTAAGTCTACGTTACTACAAGAGTCTCGCCTCCACCCAAGTTTGTAGAGAGACCAACGAACTCGTCCCTACACACCTGCGCGACCTCCCGCTCAAATCAAACATTGGCTTGTTGGTACAAACCCCCTACCGTGCAGTACTAGCCACGACGAAAAACAGCTTAAGCTCAATAGCCGCGGAGCAAATTCACACATTTACCACCAAAACTGAATCCAACTCGAGCCAGGGCGAGCAACGAGTGGCAACTTTAAAAACCGCACACCACCCCCGCTCTACGCGGCCTCGGGATCAACGCCCGGCATACTAAACTTGGACGCAAACTCTTCGACCTCCTCTCTCAGCTGTTCCAGCTCCTGGTTCCCTTCGAGCGCCGGCTCAAAGTCGACGAGCTTCTTCCCGGTGACCTTCTGAATCTCCAGGCCAATATCTAAGCCGCGCCTCAGAAAGCGCGCCACCCTTCTAAAGTCCTCCTCATCAAACCCGCGCGTTGTCAGGGCCGGCGTGCCAAGCCTGACACCACCCGGGTTCATCGCGGACCGGTCCCCATGCACGGCGTTCTTGTTCAGCGTAATACTGCACTTGTCAAACAGCAGCTGCGCCTTGGACCCTGTAAAGCCTAGCGGGCGCAGGTCCCACAGTACGAGGTGGTTATCCGTGCCACCTGTGGCGAGCTTGCACCCAAGCTTGACCATCTCGTCGGCGAGCGCGGAGGCGTTGCGCACGACCTGTCTCGCGTACTCCTTGAACGCGTCGGTGGCGACCTCGCGCAGCTGGACGGCGAGGGCGGCGATCTGGTGGTTGTGCGGGCCGCCCTGAAGGGCCGGAAAGACGGCGCCATTGATGGCGGCCTCCATATCGACGCCCTGCCCCGCGGCGGCCAGCGGCTTGCGACGGTAGAAGATCAGGCCGGAGCGCGGGCCGCGCAAGCTCTTGTGGGTAGTGGACGTGACAACGTCGGCGTACTCAAACGGGTTATCGGCGGCGCCCGTGGCGACCAGGCCGGAGATGTGGGCCATATCGACGAGGAGGTATGCGCCGCTCTCGTCGGCAACGTCCCGGAAGGTCTTGTAGTCCCACTCCCTGGGGTATGCGGAGCCGCCGGCGATGAGGCACTTGGGGCGGAAGAGGGCGGCGTGGTGGCGAAGCGCGGGGTAGTCGATGAGGCCAGTGGCCGGGTCGACGGCGTAGGGCAGGCTCTCAAAGTAGATGCTGGTGGCGGAGACGCGGCGGGTTTTGGTGTAGAAGCCGTGTGTGAGGTGGCCGCCCGAGGGCAGGTCCAGGCCCATGAGGCGGTCGTGCGGGGCGAGCAGGGCGGTGTAGGCGGCGAAGTTGGCCGGCGAGCCCGAGTAGGGCTGGACGTTGACGCCCCATTCGGCCGGGTCGAGGGCGAAGGCGGCCAGGGCGCGGGCGACGCAGAGGCGCTCGAGCTTGTCGATGTTGAGGTTTCCGCCGTAGTAGCGGGCGGACGGGTAGCCC